TAATATAGCATATATAATCATTCACATTGCTCTCAAATGATCTTTTTATTCCTGCACTAGGACACTTAATTCTGATTGATTAACCCAGAGCTGCCCAAAGTCGGTGTTTTTTTTGCTCGAAATCGAAATGTATCGTGTCGGTATTCACGCTCTACTGTTCCTACTTCTCACTTCGTTGATGTTTTATCGTAGTGCGCGATGCTCGATTCATGGATGACACTAATCCGAAATCGAAAAAAGTTTTTGACCTGTGTCTTTCACTATATTTAAAAGAATGTTATTATTAATATTATAAGATACACTATTATTCATAACCGTAATGATTATGACATGCTTGCTTTCATGCAACTAATATAGAGGAAAAGGACTGTATAGAATTTTTATGTGTTTGCTATTTGTTACATATATATTTAATTCGAAGAAAATATATACAATAATTACATTTCGTTCAGTACTTAATTACCTTCCACATGTACGCTTGAAATGATTATATTGAAACTATGGATTAAAACTTAAAAACTCGATTTAAAAAAAAGTGCTCACTCTTCGATTTTAATATTTATTGCAAAATGGTCCTGAAATGTTCCAAAACCAATTCCAGAAGGAAAATCAGAGGTGCAGGAAAGTCAGGGTTGAATTCAATCGAGGACCACCGTGATTTTTTAATTATTTTGAGAAAAAACTGATTCTTAATTTATAAATAGTCTTAAAAATAAAAAATTATCTGGAATTTTTTAGATGAATTGTCAGATAAATTTATCTATATTATCTAGATTAATTTAAATGTAATCATCTTTATCTTATCTAAGATAAATTTCCAAATTTTCATCTTATCTTTATCTAGCTAATTTTAAAATCATCTATGCACAACACTGGTGATCTATATCTATCTCTTGAAACGAATGAAAAAAGCTTGTGCACATTATTTAACAATATATGGGTACGAATAAATAACGTAAATTGAAATTTTTTGGTTGTTGACCAATGTCAACGTTCTCGGTTCACGTCAGGTAATGGCCGTGCGACGTAAACCGAGACACTAAATCCGAGGTACTAAGATGGCGACGCCATCATTTCCCCTCACCCCTCAGACCTTACTCCCCGTGTCCATATTAGCACTCTATGCTCCGTCCATATATTTCATACGTCCATGCCGGAGACACTACCGCGTCTCCTGATATGTGAAATAATAAACGCTTTCTTTCAGGCGCGTAAATAAACAATATTCACAATACTAAAGACCGTTAATGTAAGAACATAACTAATAAGAATACAAAGCCACCATTAATTATTAAGTAATGCAATCTTAAAATTTAATATCTTACTTTATAAAAAAGGAACGAGTCATTACTTCTTAAATAAAGATAAAGTAACTCTGGTATATACGCCGCACCTTATAAAAAGTAATGATAATGGTAACGCGTTATTTTTATAAAGTAACGTTTCCAATCGTGTGCTTTTATTGTCGCGTTAATAAATATAACAAATTAACTGTTAAATGTTATTTCCTTACCTGTATGAAACACTACATTTTGTTTTAATTAAAAGAGGGTACGCCTAAGTAAAAGCCTTTAAAAAAGGCTTTTTTTATCAATTTTTTTTAAAAGTAACTATATTTTAGAAAAAATATGAATTAATGTATCAATTGGGCACACTTTGAAGATATTTTAAGAATTTTTATATGTCAAAGTATAAATATATGTATGACGATGTTGCTCAACATTATAGACTTCCGTATTCATAAAACATGGTCCATCGGCTATGTAGAGAACTCAAATTGTAATTATCTGAAATAAAATTTGTTTAAAAATTTCAAATCTATATGAGTGTAGTTTCAGTTTAGCATAGCAATTTTTTAAAATAATTTTTCTTTACAAAATGGAAACGGTTAAAAAACAAATTTTTATTTCTACTACATTTTAAAGTTCTTAAGGTAGTTCTTCACGGACTCCCTAGTCAACTGAATGCTGAGAATAAAAATTGCGAAATTCTCAATCAAATTGTATATATGGCGTTCATTAAATATATTTATAAATTTTAAGGTCTTTGTTGATAATATTTATATTGAAATAATAAAGTTTTAATAATATTAATATTGTTTATACGTAGCGATATATGAACCACGTAGTGACATGAAAGAGGTTATGAAATCGTACATTTTTGCTGTTTCTACAATAAATATCTCGAAAATTTGTTCGGCTACCTCCACTTTTATTTTGACCGTTAAAAAGTACGAATCTTTAACTTTCATCTATTACTTTTTCATTATCAACTGCAGTTTTTTACTATACTAATTTGTAAATAATAGTGCTCGGAACTGTACGATACCCTATGTCTCCGTGTATAAGAAGCCAATTTCAACGAATTTTTTCTCAAAAATGAGTTCGGCAATCGGGGTTTAAAAAAATTGTAGCATATAGTTCGAGATCCAGAGAACCTCATATATTTTTCTTATTTTTTTCTGCAGTAATTCATTTTTGTGAAGAACTACCTTAAACATCTCGCCCATTGAAAAAACTAAAAATAAAAAAAATCCCTACGCTTAACTCAAATTATACGTTTTGTGAAGCTACTGTTCAAAGCTGAGTCTAATCGGTCAAAAATTGTTTGAGTTATAGACACAGCCAGTTGAAAAAAAAACACTTTTAAGAAAAACACGTTTAAAATTTCAGTGATGATTTTTTAATAGAAATCTATCGAATTTATCAGTTTACCATAGTGAATCTATTCCAGGACCATAAAATAAATCGTCTGTAGCAGCGGCAGCATCATTCATTGCCTTCATATCCTTCCTGAAATGCATTCTTTCTTCGAGCGTTGCCACTCGCGTTCGCGTCTCAGCAGCAGTAATTCATCGCTGATCCTCGTTTTCAACATAATTTGCCATTTCGGGTTCAATGCGTATTCCTAACAATTCCATAATTTGCACAATAATGATAAACGGTCTGCATTAAAAAATAAAAATACATCCGGCTAAGCAAGCCGCTATTTTGACAATGAAAACTCCATTATGCAATTGGTACTTTTGGTGCAATTTCCTATATCAGATTATTATTTTGCGTATATGCACCTAAGCATCTTGTCATTCTTTATCGGTCAAATCTTTAAAAATTGTCGTAATCGCTTCGATAACATTATGTGGAAGAGCCGGCTTTTGCTTATATTCCTGCAATTTATCTTCAGCTTTCGCTTTTTGCCAAGTGCACCACGAATAAGCTCCTTCCGGACAATTTTGATGTTGAGAATTTGTATCCGTGGAACTTTTATGTAGAAGTATAGCCCAAATAGCATTATGCATATCATTCACGGAATTCTTGTTTCTGCGAATCGCAAGACTGTAATAAAGTGATATGTCATTGATAACTTTATCTCTTAGTTTTCCTTTGCCACCAAGACCTTCATTATTCTTTTTGCACTTCCGCAATCTGCTGTCCATACGCTTTGACACATAATTAACACATTCTTTTTTTACAACTTTTGTTTCTTCATATGGATCTGCATCGACGATATTTTTGTAGGTCTTGCTGTCACCATCACCAATGTAATATTTATATTTCACATCATTTTCAGATCGATTGAACATTTCTACGATGCCGTCGACTTCCATCTTCCCTGCTGTTCCATCATGATTAGTATGACAATTATTTTAATGAGATTCAAACCAAATGTTGTATTCATTCGTTCCTTTGTTTTTTTCATATCACTACAGGCTTTGCAAAAGTTAGATTTCACAACAACTTTTATAACTTTATTGGAATAGTATCCTATTAAAGTAAACACGAATAAAGAAGAAAAGCCTCTTTTTCTTCAGCTGCCATCACCAGAAACTATTAAATTATAACGACTATGTGTTGTACTTGTAGCACTTTGGTTTGCTTCCTCAGTCTTTCAAATTCTTCTTTGACACTACTATTTAAAATTTTGTCACAAATGAGTTTTACAGCATTATAAATGTTTTTAACTATTATATCATAAGTTGAATGATAAACAGAATGCGGCAAATCCATAAAAGCACAAAATTTTTTTGCGCCATTCAATCCTATACCGATAAGATGCATAGCAAAAGTAAATCTGGTATTTTATAATATTTCATATGCGTTGTTGATACTCGGACAAGATTAATTAATTTTAGAATACACGATGGACATTTTATTGTAATTTTAAATCCAACCCCTCGCTTACTTGATTCTTCAAACTTCACATTTCCTCCACAAGATTTGCATTCCACATGTTCAGCAAGCGCCAGAAAAACAGAATAAAAATTTATGATTCTATAGATGGTCTGATTAACGCAAAAATCAAATGTCTGAGATGATTTCAATTTTTTAGCAGAAGTGCTCACAAAATCTACTGGTTTCTCTAATTCAGGAGAGGTTTCTCTAATTAGAGAACGTTGTCCTTTTCTACCATCTCGATTTCTTTTACGGGTATCAGATTTTATACTTTTTCTATCCATCCTTTATTTCGTATAGAAATAAATATTGATGCGTATCGTGCCTCGTGCTACGAACAACTAACGACTGTTCAACAAACTTTCTAGTTTTGAAACACACACACACACACACACACACACACACACACACATACACACGTCTGTAAAACGAAATGTAAGTATACAAAAAACTGCAAGGTCAAGGGGCCTATTATTTGTGCGTTCGTTATATAGGGTAACTGATCAGGGGCTCTATTCCTGAAAAGAAACGTATACGAAAAATTAGGAAAATACTATAGTATACGTAACGTATACTGTAGTATTTCCCTAGACTTTCGTATACGTTTCTTTTCAAGAATAAACCCCCAGGTACGATTTCAGCGCATTGTGCGCCCGTTCCCTAAGACTCCCATAACTCGAGAAATACTTCGAATTTTATAAAAACCTTTCAGGAGCATATTTTTAAGACATCAAAAAAAATGTCGAAAAAAAATCTTTTTTTCGAATTTTTGAAAATTTTACTTAGGCGTACCCTCTTAAGTATTTACATATTACACAATACACATACCGTCGCACACCTGATTGGTGGCGTTATAACGATAGCCCAATGGACATAACGGCGATTCGTTATCCTCGTCTTTGTCCGGCATCTTTTTCCTCGGTGACCTCAGGATACATGAACGTGCATCGTTGGCCAAGTCGTACCCTGGATTACAGCTACATACTACAGCCATTCCATTGTCAGTGCACCGATGCTCGCAGGGGTGAGTTGGTTTGCATCTAAAAGCGAATATTTAATTACACTTGCTTACATTTGTTAACATTTGTATTATTAACAATAATTTCACAGACTGACATGATAAAGCTCGTTTCATCGTTTCGCAGTACTCGCGATAACTCATCGCCAATAATTAGGGTAAACCCGGTATATACGCCGCAAAAGTCAGAAAAAATAGGAGTGGGGATAATTTTCCGTCAATTACTTTGTTACATGCCTTTATGGTATATTAGTATTATGTTATGATTTCAATTTTTTACCGTTAAGATTAATGAAATTATTGCGAGTTAAATCGATTTTTTACTGTAATAAATAGTGCCATCATAATTTATAATCTACATATTATAAAATGATTACTGTAGAGCGTGTAAAAGACTTAGTGGTTATTTTGCAATACATATGTGTAGAGGAAATAGTAAAGCATGTTGTATAGTAAAATATACAAGTGCTTTGCTCCTGTATTGTTTGTTTAATTAGTTGTCTTATATATCCCATCTATTTGGGATATACGGCATTTTTAGCGAGCGGGATGCTGTGCCGCAGCACAGACGCTCTATTTAAGAAGTTTTTGTTAATTCTAACAATTATATTTTGCATTAATGCATAAATGTTGATAAATCTTAAACGTTTAACGATTATTTTCAAAGATTTGAAGCTATTTAAAAAAAATTGTATTAAGTCCTATTTGTATTCCAATTTTCATTCTGAACAATAAAAATTGTCATATATTAATAAACAAATGCAAGTTACGTCGTGATTTTACATCTTATTTATAGATTATTTGTGATTTTCTTATGAATCATATATGAGTGGCCATATATTATCCCCCCCCCCGCCTATGGAATAAATGGCAAAAATGCAGGGGTTTGAAAAAGTTATTTTTTAATATGGAAAATAAATTATTTTGGATTACTAATGTTTTTTTTATAGTAGTAGATGATACAAAGTTTTTATTGGTATAATTAATTTGCTTTAAACATAGTAAATAATAATTGATAAATTAAGTTTTTGATAGGTGCGGCGTATATACCGGATTTACCCTAATCCGAATGTCAATTATGTACAAATACACTTCCTCATGCATTAAAACAATCTATGTTAAAATTTATATTATTATACCTGTCGATTGGTTGATTCTGCCTGCAAGTCTTTCCGTCTTCTAACAAAGTGAAGCCGTCGCGGCATTTGCAGCGATACGAGCCCGGCGTCGGTACGCAAATGTCAGAGCAAAGTATGCCTTTCATGAGTTGACAAATATCATCCAACTCTGTGAATCAGAACGTTGAGATTTAAAGTGTTTGCACGTAAGCTAAATAAAAAAGAGAAATATCACATTGACTTTCTCGCGTGCTGTACGCTTATAAGAAAGACAACGCAAAACGTTTATTTACAGTGTGTGTGAATTTTTTTGAAGATATTCTCTATAAATTCTTTGGGGTGGAATCCTTAAAAATTGAAAATTGTGAATTAGTCTTAAAAAAAGTAGCAATTTTCAATCTTAAAGACTGAGATTTACTTTAAAAGTTTTAGAGAGTATATTTTGACTTGTTTGTATAAATTTTATTGTTTGTGTGTAATAATTAATAATCAAGAGGCATATTTTATGTAATAAATTAAATATATTACGCAAATTGTACCTGGAGTTGGGATTGAGTACGGCGTAGAATCTGATGAAGAGGAAGTCTGATCCGAAAATGATGTGGATAAAGGTGATGTAGATGAAGAGAAAGAGAGAGAAGACAAAGACGACGATGACAATGACGATGGCGACGATGAAGTTGGTGACGATGACGGCGAGTATGAGAATGTTGGCGAAGACGACGACGAGAAATCTGGATCAGTTTCGGTTGAACTCTCGCTTAGCAATTCACTCGTAAGATCCGTCGTGGAGCTCGGCGACGCTTCGCGACAGCATTCCAAAAACGCGGGATCCCAAGGAATGCCAAACGAGAAGCTTTTGAAGGAACATCCTTGACCCATAGACCCCGCGAGGATACCTGATAATATAATACATTGATAAGACGCTCGTCAGGGATAATCGATACGAACGAGTTTATCCCAGTTTCGTTGAAGTAGACGCTTTTATATATTAATACATTAAGTATTCTCTTGACGTAATTCGCAAAATATAGAGTGTGCTTTTTCCAGCAACCCTCAATAAGTGAGAAACATTTTGAAACATTCCAACAACATTACAGCAATGTTGTTGAAATGTTACAAAATATTTTTTGCTTACTAAAAAAAGGAGACACAGATAACACAGTGAATCATTATCACATCTTTCTTATTTGCCAGTGTTAAACAAAGATATGATATGATGTAACTGTGTTACACTGTGTGTATGTCGCTTGCTTAGAGAGTATCAATAAATTGAATAAAAGTACCAAGCTTGCAACCCTCGCAACAGTCGCGATGATAATCGCCACGACTGAGAGTCTTTGGAGATCTTTGCGATGCCGTTGTGCTCGTTACGCAGGCCAGACCTTTGCGTGCGTCGGCTTTTCCTTTTTCGCATTGCAGTTCGTGATATGCCCGAACGCAGCAGATATCTACAGCCTCCAGACAAAGACCCTGCTCCACCCTCGGCACTCCAGTCACAGGCCCAGTGAACTTCTCACACCTAAGACCTTCCCGAGCCCAAGACGATCCAAGACCGCAGCATTTCTCGAACTGAGCCTCCATTCTTCCCTCGACAACGAGCGCTATTACGTGCGATAAAAAATAAGCGAGTGGTATTAATATGCTCGGAAGAGCATATGCAGATGCGGTAATTATATCAGTATTAATTTAATGATAATTATATGCATATCGAAGTTAATACAACTATAATATATAAAAATTTGGGTAAACCTTGACAATAACGGAAGCAGCTCCGATGACCTTGACCTTGACATATGTTTTCAAGGTCATGACCCTGAGTAACCTCCAACAGATTTTAACCGTCGCTCGTCTTTCGTTAAAAAGTTATTAACAAAAAAAGTTTTAAAAATAACGTATTATTTTTCGCTATACATATATATGATATTAAGTACTATTCTTCCCCTGTTTAAAAATGTTAAACCTTCCACACGAAGTAACTCTCACCTTCTCTCCCCCTGCAAAGGGGCGTACGACTTCTATGTATTGTACCGTTGCACGTGGGGCTCTTGCGGGGGGCTCCACTACTGTTAAAAATAACCTAACTCAACCCATTTTTTGGTGTGAATTCTCGTTTCGCGTAAAATCGAAATCTACGTGCAACAGTACAATCATTAAAATCGTGCATCCCTTTGCAGGGGGGAGGGGTGGGGGTGAAAGTTACTTCGCGTGGAAAGTTAAATGATTTGAATAGTTTGATGCAGTATATTTGATAGGCAAAAAAATTATTCATGGAAGTTTTCAGTAAAAATACAATATTATTTTTGAAACATTTTTTTTTAACTGCTTTAAAAGTATTGAATTGCTATTTATAAAGCAGTGAATTGTTGCTGGGAAAGTGGTGGAATAGATGTTGCCTCACAGAAAGTCCTACTATCCTAGTCGATCCATTTTAAATCTCCCATCTGCCTACAGTCATCCAACAAAGCAGAGAAATAATTAGCAACTTTGATTGTTAATAACTTTTTAACGAAGGATGAGCGACGGCTAAAACTTATATTAAAGGTTATTCAGAGTCATGACCTTAACAACATCCTTAACAATCAAGACCATTGGAGCTATTTCCGTTTTTGTCAATGTTTACCAAAATTTAACTTCTTTATTGTATAAGTGAATCAAAAATAAACACGCGTGGTTTTTTCAAATGAAAAAAAATATAAAGTAATGTGTTGAAATTCTAGTAAATTTTATAGGATTATCAAGGGGTCAATCATGTATTTTCACGTGAAACTTTTCACATTTTATTTTTCACTTTTCATTTTTCACTCATCGAGATTTCACATGAAACTTTTCACGTATAGCGATTATATATGCGATATTGCATGGACGACTAAGCAATCCGTGTAATTTATAACCTCTCTATAACAACACAAAGAAAAATAATAATAAAAAGAAATGTTATTAAATTATTTAAAACGCAATTCCAAATTACTGAGGGGTAGAATAGACATAAAAAACGAGAGTCGATTAAAATTGATAAATTTAAAATATTTTGTTATATAATATATTATATTTTATAGACACATTACATTTACATTTTGTCGCCTTTGTATTCTTAATAAATTTCTTTTTTCATTAGCAGCAATTTGTAAGATCTACCATGCTGTAGCCATTATAACTATAAGTAAAAAATATTATTAAAATATAACTACTATAATAATATATCATATTTCACAAAAACCATTATTTGTATGTATGTGTGTATGTATAATATATGTATACATGTACAGTAGGACCTCTTTATAGTCCACCGTTTTATAGTCACGACCTCCAAGTAATCCACAATTGACTACAGTATATGTATACACGTTTTTAACCCATGTGACGCGTATCTATGACGACTGCTTGCGCAGTAAACCAGTACGCAGTCGTCTACTTTTGTTAGACGTACTCAGGCTCGTATTTAATGCTCAATTGTGTGTGAATAGCTTAAATTAATTTCTTTCCATAATTGTTAGTTACTGTTCTTAAGTGTAAATATAAATCAAAAGAGAAAGTGTATAACAATAAGCAACAATTAAGCAACAGATAATTGAGGAGATTGCTTCCGGGTTAAAAATTAAAGATGTAGCAAAAAAATACGAGTTGTGTGTCAAAAATAAAAAACAAAAAGATCATATTGTTTTCTTTAGCAAATCCGTGCATCGTGCACAGTTAAAAAAAAGTATGTAAGATGAGATGCCCAACGAATCTGGATGCAGTCCTGTACACATGGTTTTATCAACAAAAATCATAGGAACAACCAATTAGCGGACCATTTATTAACTCGTGAAAAAGCTCGGAAAATTAATAAAATATTAAACCTGAATTCTTCACGGTAATTATTTTTTAGCATTTAATTCTTAACACACACATATCGTACATTTGGACGTCGTGCTCTATAAGTTCTCATTGTGTTCTAACCAAAATTTAGTTATTCGAACAATACAATTTTCAAATAATAAGGTAAGAAAGCTTTCGTTAGTCACATCTCAACAAAATAAATAGTTATCAAAACATTTTTCTCAACGAGTGCTACATATGTGCTTAAGAAGGCTACTTACGGTCCTGATTTGGGGCGGAGTTAAGGTAACCTCTTTATTGTTACATTTGGTCCCGAGCGTGTAACTACAAAGAGGTCCTACTGTATGTATATATGTATGTACGTAATAATAGTTTTTTAATATATTATTATAATATGTACATATATATAACCTCTCTTCCATCAATGCGATATTACTTCTTCTTCAATGATAAGAATCATAGATAATCATAGAGTTCATGTAAAACTTTTCACGTTTTCGCCCTAAGGGAAAAGTTACATGATTGACTCCCAGATTCATATAGGAAAAGGCATCTACTAGTATATATTTATGTACTTAATTTTTTTGGTAAATGAACGATCATTGTCTAGCTGTTACAAATAAATTTTATGCTACTACATTTGTTACTACTTCTTAATTTATAAATCACTATACACCTTAATAGAAGTTACTTTATCGGTATACTTTTTGCCTATATTAGCACTGAACAAAATTTACTGCACGATCAAAAATACAAGTTTATAGAGTCCTGAAAGTTGTTTGTGTTTACAGTCTTGAGAGTGGTTTACTAAATTTACTTTACGGAAGACAATCACTTTTGAATGGATTTATTATAATTGTAATGTACTTTCCACCTCCGGTATTTTGACTTTCAATTAAGTAAAGTTTATCATAAATTTGACAAAAATAGCTAGAATATTTTTGCTAGATTTGTAAGACAATTTTCTCCATGTTGAAACAACTTTTAAGTATCTTACATTTATATCAGTGTCGTAAATTAACTAAAAAAGAACGAGATGACAAGCGCGCATCTAGGTCAAAAGCTCTGTTGGATTTTTGTCGGACTTATCACTTTCTCAATTTTTCCATCAATATCGCTTAAAAATGTTCTCTAAATCTTTTATTTGCGTTATTAAGAAATTCTAACAGGAGACGCTCCGGAAAACTCCGACAAGAATAAATTAAAATTAACTTCTCACAATTCCGTCATAAAAGAATTATAAAGAAATTTATAATTTATTGAGAAAATGTATAACAGAAACTAGCATGAGAAAAAATACGCTTTGCACATTGATAAGAGCGAAAAGCAAAAGAGTTTTAAAACCTCGTTTCTCTTAGACATCATGTGTTTTCCCAGTGATAGATGCGAGTCGCGAATTTTATCTGTAAAATATATATCAATCTAGTTCGCAAACAGTTTCTGCGAAGAGCTTAGAGATCCTCCAATAGTGCTTTCGCGATCTCAATTGTTCCTCAATGCGTCCTATCTACATATAATGTGAAAATTAATTTATATCAATCGACACGTCGCGTGCACGAAACTACCATGGACGTCGGACATGTTTCCTTTTTGATATTTTAATACAATCTAAAGTTATAATTATTGAATTTTACGACGAATGTCAAACACGATCGAAAAAAATTACATGCAAATTTTTCACAACGAGAAAAAGAAAATTTTATAAAGTGATAAAATGTTTTGTTGTATTTCTATCCGTATAAAATGTATACGCAATGTCCTCTTTTAAAGAAAAAATTCGCCTGCGCCCATGTCGCCCACTTGAATACAATTATTATTGATATCTTTAGAATATTGATGATTGAACTTCACTTCGTGGAACTGCCTCGAAGTTTCAAAATATCGAACGCAGCTCATAGTATTCTGCGTGCGCAAATAAGCCTAGGTCAATGGAGAACTATAACTAATAGGATGATTTGCTTAACATCGATACACACAATGAGTAATGTCGTGATGCAATGAAATTTAGTCTATCGCAAATATTCGATAATTTCATACAAGAAAAACCATTACATAATTAAATTTAAAAAATTTCAAGTTTTTTTCCTACCGATATTCATAAAATTCACGCATACATAATGAACGCTTTGTCTACACAAGTTGGAGTTTATCTCGATCCAACGTAGATACATCAAAGCCACACGGTTTTTATGTAAAAATTTATCTCTACTTGAAAAAAAAAAGAAATATAGGAAAAGTAAAAATTAAACGAGCTAGAAATTAGTGCATTTTAGAACTAGATACATTACTGATAGCTTGCGTAAGATTTTCACGCTGTAACCGCGCGAATTTCTTGAATAGTTCAAAATAATTTTGGGCGAGTCAATTTTAACAATTTGAATCATTCGATCGTCATTTGGATTACAAACGGTACCTCGTTTGTGCAGGACCAGCTGCTCCAGGTGGGCCGTCAGGAGGAGGATAATAAAGGACGCAGCGAGATCGACGTAATGTGCCATTCTCCCTCATCGATCAGATTCCGGAATTATTATGTTCACGCAACTTTTCGCGATCGAATAACGCGATTGAAATCTTTCTTTTTCGCGCGAGAAAGTCGTAAATTTTATTCTTTTTTATCACTTTTTTTTTCAATTTCTTCGAGAAAAACGTGCGAGCGACTCTGGTTCCGAGGAAGTTTCGTTCAGATGCGCCTCGAATAAGCGCTCGGCTTGCATTGAAGCATTTGGTACGCCGGCACTTCGGTTTTGTCATCTGCACCTTTATACATCTCTCCCTCGCAGGTCCCGGGCCTCTCCTTCTACCCTTTGTCCTCATCCTCCCTCCTTCCACACACTGTTGCGTAGTACAAGTCTACCGTCCTTCCCTCTCACTCTTTCTTTTTCTCACTGTCTCATTAGATACGAGAATACGCGTGATACGCGCGCAGACTCTCCGTGTGTTGATTAATAACTCGATTCGAGCAGAAACGGAGGCGAACCAGAGCGATAATCTTCAAAATCGTATAGGCATATCGTTTGTAATTTGATAGAAACTATATCATCACGAAGCTCCAAATATTAATTACAAGTTTTATTAGAAATAAATAGAATTTCGAGTGTAATTTTGTTGCTAAAAAAAATATTAACAAACAATCAATCTCTTATCTTATTTAAATTTTATATCTTATATTTTTGTCACAATCATATTTCTCGATAAATATGTTTACTTAAACTTTTATATCCAAGAAGAACAATAAGAAAGTTAAAATAATATCAATTTGTTGTTATATTGACCGAATTTATGCCATTATTTTTTTTAATCAATGTGACATTATTCCTTAGATAAGCAAACACGAGCGCAAAAACTGGCGGCTTTACAGCCATGTGACTCCCCCTTGGACTTTTTTCTTTAAATATTTATAACAAAGTTATTATATTTTTCAAATATTTTTCTAAAACAATCACAATTTTTATATTTCAGAAATACTTTTTAATTTAAGAATCTCCTAGACACACAAAAAACATATAGATCCACAAAGTATTTTTTTGTGTTAATATAATTTTAAATAAAATATTTTATAAATTATAAAAGGTGTGTGTAACAATAAAAATAATAATTTAACATTCTATCTTTATCATATTTGACCTTTAAAAAAGATGTCGCTTGTGGTTCGTCAAAATGCCCCTCCCCCCGCCACCTTGACGAATTTCTGAATCCGTCAATGAGGACAAGGTAGTTTTACGGCTTATTCTTCGAGTTCTTTACCATCCTCGTGATTTCTTCCGCAGCCTTCTGCTCCTCCAGGCCGCGCGGCACAAATAAGCAGCTTTTTTCGCGGGAGGCTCGCTCAACAGTGGCCCCCTTGTACCGCGAAATTTCGTACCATCCATCAGGCGCAAGTTGCCTCCAAATCTCAACCGAGGAAAATGTATAATGTACAAATCGTCATTTATGAATAGTATCTATCGTTACTTATACGTTATTACAACGAGAAGTCTGTAATGAGATTTCGTCCAGTTCCGTTCTCTTCGGATACCGAGAAATATTTTATCAAATTCTTACGCCATCGGAAGAAATTAGTGCAGGAGAAGAGAGCTTTATAAAAAAAAATTACGCGTTATAGCCATTTAATGTTAGCGATTTTATTTCAAAAATAAATTTATATATTGACTTGTAAATTTAATCGTCTAAATTCTTATCCGTCGCAAAGTATATCGCCCGGTCCAGCCACCATGTATTGTGATCGTAACAGCGTAATTGATGTTAACCGTGACACACGTAACACCCTGGGGTTATAGAGTCGCGCATTATGAAAAAATTCCGCATAATTCCAAAGCCATCAGTAACACACAAGCATCATCCTCGACGTTCGCCTCACAGCGTCTTACAGAGCCGCGTCTTTCGGTCTAAAGTGGTGCTTTTTTGCCGCGGCTGAGTCTGCATATGTGCTCGGTCTGCTCGTAATAAGGCGAACGAGCGATCGTGTCCTGTGTAAAAAAGCGAAGAATTTGACAATCCGCTAAGGGAAAGAAGGGAAAAAAGGAGATGCGCGGTTAACGCGCTTCATAGGGGATCAGTTTATTTGGTCGGCCGCTTCCTGTTCCGCGTTTCGACCGACGACAGCCACGATCGTGGTGATCCCACGAATTTAATAATGATTATTAATCTCGAAATACTTAAGGCATCAAAAAATTTCACAAGGGGCCTATTTTCTGATCTATTTCAGCGTAATAATATGCCATGTCCGAATATTTTTGTTGAGTGAATCTTGCAAATAGTATTTTTAATGTATGAATATGTTACGGACATCACATTAATTTTTTTCACTATTTTCCTAATCTAATCAAGTTACTGGTACCTTATTGTGTTTTTTTAAAACGGGTTTTGAGCTTTAAAAGATTTAAAAAGATTCTTAAACTCTTCTAACTTTTATTATATTATAAATTAAAAAATACGATTTTACAATAACATGACCCGAAATACTTCCCACGTTTTTATACGTGTCCGAATTTCAGGCAGAATAATTTTCAAAATTGAAAGTTCACCTTGTACATTATGTGTCCTCAAAGTCCCAATTGGATATGAAAGATGATTAATTATGCAGAAAATTAAATCTCAATAAAATGAGGTAGTGCACACATAGATATAATATAGCTTCTGATGCAATGAATAAAAGATATCATATGTAGATGCAAGGATCAATAATAAATAGTTTCTGAGCTGTGGGTGTATTTAAAAAATGCTCCTTAGCTTAAAAATTATCCATATTATTGAGTTTTGCGTCTATATCTTTTATAAGTTACATTATACGTGAAAATTAATTCATTACATCCATATAATTAGTGCAGGATCTTATCATACATTAGAAAAATACTGTATATACAAGATCCACATTCAACAAAACGCTCAAATACGGCACAATTTATCATTGATGTAGATTCATCATACTACAGATTAAAATCCATGAAGAATCCATTGTGCTCTTTTTTTCGTTAGTTCTGCAAGATAAATATTGATCTTTGATGACATTAAGTTTTTCCGAAGTTGTTCAACCATCTAATTATACCGCGAATTACATCGCGACAATATAATTAAACATCGTTCGATATTTGTACGCAGAGACTATAATGGATAATATAAAACTTAAAAGAGAATAATGGACAATATAAAAACTCAAACTTTGTATCTCAAACTGGCAATTTTATTCGATTGATCTGTTACGTTATCATACGTAATATGGACACATCGTTTAATGGGAAGGTTTACACTTGATTTTTCGTGTCCTCGCGTTTCATCCTCGCTAACACATTTATTTTTCATGTGACAAAAAAGAAATTTTTGCACAGTGTCTCCGTGAAAGAATGCGATGCACAATTAAAAAAATTTATTACAACTCAGTGCTTTTCAAAGAAATCTTTTATCCTTTCTCATCTGACATAAGACGCAACGAATCGAATCAATAGGTATCAAGAAATGTAATGTATAAACACACAAGTATCTAATGATAAAATACGAATCTTATTGGTCTTATTATTTCTATAATTTTGACAATATTTCCTTTTCTCACACATGTTAGCGGTAACACCCGTACTAATAAATACTGACAGAACCGTATTCGAGAAAACACGAGAATATATAGCCTTAATTTAAAAATATCGCTGTTGTACTTTATTCTAAAATTAGACAATTACAGCTTATCTTATGAAATCGACTACGAGCGCTTTCTATTCGAGAATATAGTAATTACTTGTTTCACATCCTAGGCTTCGAATGTTGAGTACAAACAAAATTCTGTTTACTAATGCGCATGTGTAACCGAGAATTTGTCTTTTTTTTTTCTTCTCTGTTGATACCGAGTGTAGAAGATGTAATAATATCGTTATAATTTTGTTGATTTCACCTTTGCCATACAATACGATAATCTCGTGAAGTAAAATTATCGTTAGAAGTACGTAATATATCAAATGTAAGAAATATTCGCGAAACATTTACGGAGTGTGGAAGAACATGAACGAGGTGTGACAAGATAAAAGTATATGCTTCTGAGTGTGACAAGTTCGTGAATGAATATCATGATTGAAAATTCTTTGAATAAGTGTAATCCAACGGAGAATTAATACTAATCGAAGTGGATTTCAATACAGAGCACACATTATCATTTGTTCGCGTAAGTAATAATAAAATACACAATTTTACGTTGAAATTTTTTATCAAAAATTGTACATCATTTCTTGAGCGCAACAACATATTTTTATATTGATAGAATGTAGTAATCGGTTCGTAAAATTTAAACTAAAATATTAAGTAAGTTCTGTAATAAAATACATGAATATACAATATCTGAGTTTATTATAGAGACAACATTATAACACGATGATGTAGCCAAAATCATATGCTAATGTCATAGTAATATGCCGTGTATGTATAGTGTCAATTTTTTAATATGTAACTTATAAACGAGACACAAACATTTCTCATTATATATATCTTCTACAATATAAGATTATATTTAAAAGTCATCAAATAAAATACAAATGCAGTCTACAGTGATATAAATTAAATAAGTCAGTAACAATGATCAAAAGATATAAAACATTTGTTATCACTACAGTATCCAAAGTAGTAATAGACAAAATGTGTGATTGTAAAAAATATTCGAATCGTAGCAAAAAGAATAAAATCTTTATTCTACGTGTTTTATTCAAAAGTAATAAGACAATAATTATGTAAAAATCCATGTATTTCGTGTGCGGAAGATGTAGTCGTCACTCTCAAAAATTCTATTTAAGACACCTCGTTCCGCAAGTCATCTAAAAGAAATTTTTATAAGAAACCAAATAGAACTTGCCACCTAATGCCTCGTTCTATTTTATCCTAACTTATTCATAAAATCCGCAATATTGAGAACCAAGCGGACATTATTTTATAAAGGGAACGACGACTAGGCCATATGAATATAACTGAGGAATTTCTCTTATGTTTTGATACAGATTTAGTGCAATAGTGGAACCTATCTAATTGAGAATCCAGACTCTTTCCTTTCAAACCACTTTCAATATATCTTAACAAATGCTGTATTTTTTATACACAGGTTCTCAATCGAAAAAGTCTAGATCCTCTAAAGTTCTGCTTCTCTATTTTCGTATATTCAGAAAAAATGTTTCCTGAGATTTATTCATATGGCATATTGTTTTCAGTCCACTAAACTATCTGCTCTTGATTGGTGCACAAAATTTCATTTATTTTTCTTTCTTTTTTTTTTCTTTTCACGTTTTGTGCATGGATGTCAGAAATCAAATTCCCCAACTTTATATAGGTTCTTCTCCTTCTGTAACAATTAAATGAAATTCTGTATAGTATCAAATATATGATATATACAATGTCCCAGTAAAACTCTGTTACAAGGCAATATTTCTGTTACCGTTAATGATACACGAAAATGACTAAAGAAGAAATTGTTTGGTTTGGAAGGGAACAATGTTTTGGTCACCTTGTTTTTTTTCTAGATGGAGTCACTAAAAAGATATGAAGATCACCTCCACTGTTTTAAATAAATTGTATAATTTTTTTTTACACAATATGATCCTTTAATTATTCTGCATATAAAAATATTAAAATGTATCAAAAAATCAATAGTTTACGAGATATTTTATTCTGGCATATGTTGACACAAAACGTTAAATATCTTGTAAAAGCTATTGGGTTTTTGATATACATCTACCTTAATACTTTTATATGCAGAATAATTAGAAGAACCATATTGTATAAAAAAAATTATACAATTCCATTTTGAAAAGTGAAGATAATCTTCATATCTTTTTGGTATCCTCCATTTAGAAAAAAAAACCAAGGTGACCAAAACATGTCCTCCTCCTAACCAAGCAATTTCTTCTTTAAACGATAACAGAGATATTGCCTTGTAACAGAGTTACTGGGACACCTCGTATACTAATATATAAGCGTTCATTTTGACACTTACCTTCACGATCTCCCTCATCGTCCAAAAGATCATCCTCTTCGTTAACGCCATCATCTTCATCATTCACAGCCTCATCTTCATCATCATCTTCATCAACATCATCCTCTACTACCACTATACTGTCATCTCCTTCTTCTCCTTCTCCTCCTTCATCGCCATCATCCACACCATCTTCCTCTTCATCTTCCTCTTCGCTTTCACATTCTTCACCATCGCCCTCAATACCATTTTCAACTTCCATATCTGGAGCCAGGTAATACTAGAAACCATCAGATGATAATAAGTATTATAATACATGTATATGTAAATATCATGTACTATATGTATTAATGCTTTCTGACACTTGACATATGCACATTTAAATGTATCTTTAAAGTACACTCTAAATTCTTTGGAGTGGAATCTCATTTTATAAAGAGTAAAAGTAGAGCCAGTCTTAAAAAAAGGATGGTTCAATTTTAAATTTTTAAGAATATTTTAATTTACTCCACAAATTCAAGAGAATAGTATTTACCTGTAATGGATTAGGCCACATATCATCTTTAATAAGTTCAGCTATCTCGTCTGAGCTTGGATCTCCATGATCCGTAAACCAATCAAAAAATGACCTGTGCTTGAGTGGCCTTTTGCGTCCTTTCATTGGTGCTTTGGTTTTTGCTTTCTTTGTTAAATCCGCACCCTCTTTCCAACGAATAGATGTACTTTGAGATGCTGGATCTCCTGCAAAACAGCAGGAGATTCATCGCAACTATGACACTCAATTAAATTACATTATATTGTATATTGTTTGACAAATTGTGTGTATATATATATATATATATAAAATCATAGTTTTCCATAGTTTTATTATTAATTTGATAGCAGAATGACAACAAATGTGCTCACCAGAAGATCCTAAATGAAATTCCTTAGTTAAAACATCGTTTTCAAAATACGGATTCTCATCAAAGTAGAAATTAATCCTATAGCCAGATTTAATATCTTCGAATTCTTCGACTTCTAATTTGTTTAAGAATCTCAATGCGTCTTCCTCGTCTTCCTCTAATATCTCTGCTATTTCTTTATTGTTTACAAACTAAACTTTTAATAAGGAAAAACATTAACACAAATCAATACTGTCACATAAATAAAAATCGTTAATAGAATAAGAATAATTAATGCTAATTTATCACTCAAAACAATGCATGCAAAATTCAAAATTCGAGCTAAATACTAATTCAGAAACATTCAGGATTTGATCTTTATACACTTAGCGTTACAAATTTAAAAATTGACACACCGTCGCACGTTTCTGCGAGGTGACAACGATGCGACGCAGGGTGGAATTAATTCGGCAAGTAATAAAAAAAGTAATAAAAGATAATAAAGGACTCTTGATATAAACAAAAAGTAAAGGGACGTTGTAAGAGTCATAAGAAATAAAATTTAACATGATAAATAAAACATAAATGTCACATATAATAAAGTCATCTTACAAAAATTTTTAATATACATTCCTCTACATATCTTAATAGATACGCATTTTCAAATTAACTTAACAATGTCATGTCACGGAGATGGACACCCAAGATTAATCCAATTATATTAATTTCAAGTGTTTATGATCACTTCTGAAGAAGGCTCAATCTAAGAGCTGAAACGGTAGGTCAATTTGAAAATGCGCATCTATTAAAATATGTAGAGGAATGTATCTTAAAAATGTTTGTATTATATGTGACATTTATGTTTTATTTGTCATGTTAAATTTTACTTCTTATGACTCTTACAAGAGTCCCTTTACTTGTTGTTTATTAATACAAAAAGCATAATCATAAAACGCGTAATCATCTTAATCGTTTATGCGGGTTACACGCGCTCACGCACGTATGTACACAAGCAGATATAGGTAAGATGGCGGCGGTCGCCGGCGAACGCCGGCATTGCCGAGAAACGTCAAAACGTTGCGCGACGCGCGCCGATCTCTCGTTGTTGACCAGCGGACGCTCGCGGACTGACGAGACAGGCGCGGCGGTCGGTCGGCGTCGACGAAAAGGATACAGCGGTGACCCAGAAGTTGGGTATCCTCTTGATGATGTCGTTACGCTTCTGGAAGTAGGGCTTGCGCAGCTTGTTGTACTTCTTCTCGACTTCGAGAATCTCGTCGCTGGCCTTCTCGTTCAAGCCGTCGATCTGATTCTGACAGCCGTCGATCTCCTCGAGGGTCTTCTGTATCTCGACGTCGTAATCGCGAGCGTCCCCCTCGCCCGAGCCAGGATCGTCCTCCTTGGCCTTCTTGTTCGACGACGACATGGTTACTGTACGCGCGCTCTCGCTCTCGCCACCGCTCCTACACGCCGCAGCCGCCGCACTCCGTGTTTATCGTGTTTATCTCCCCGTACGAGTACGCTCTCGTGCACTCTCGTCACGCCGCGGCCGATTACGATGCCTTCAAGTATAGGTACTATCATGTACTATGTGGTACTGTATATGCAATACTATGGGTAATTGGGTACGTAGCCGCGTTTTCGTGCGCATGCGCGGCTAACCAGTCATGTAGCTACTAGAGGGTAGCGTGGGGTGCAGACGACAAATGTTGGGATTCTTATGATTCTGCCAAATAAAACATTTTATTTAAAATATGTTAAAAAAAATGATTGAAATTATTTTAATATCCTTCCCCATATATATGTTCCTATATTAATTACATGATATAATTATTCTTTTTTAACATCTTTATTATTTATTACATTTTTTTTATTTCACTTATTATAAGTCTAATAATTATAAATTTAAGTAACAAGAACCAATAAAAATAAATAAAGGTATAGAAGAAGGATTACGAGACTAATGATTATGTATATATCTATATAAAATTTAATAGTTTATCTGAAGGTTCCAAAGGTACTCGTATTTTTGTGAACGTGATACGTCGTTGAGGTCACGTGCATGGGCATGCGGGAGAAAACGCGGCCCCGCTAGCAACATTAGGCTGCGTTCAGGAATATACACAAGTGCTCCCGTGTATCGTCTTATCCTTGTTTAACATGGTTGGACAACAAGGATAAAATGATATACGGGAGCACTCGGGTGATGTTTTTGAACGCAACTCTATACGACGCGCGCAAGCGACTATTGCTGAATTCACACTGCATCCGATTTTCGTCGTATGACGACTCTGCAACCAATCAGGAAACAAAATTTTGCTTCGTATCGATGATACGATTCTTCTAATTGGTTGCAGAGTCGTCGTACGACGAAAATCGGATGCAGTGTGAATCCAGCATATGACCCATGACTTGCGAATTCTCTCTAGATAAGCAAGTCCTCTCACTGGCTATTAAGTCCGTATTGCATAAATTTTGATTATCGCGAAACTGAAAGACGACGAATAATCTACATAAAACATGTATTGCATTTCATGTGTTTTGGGCTTAAAGCTATATCCACACAAACTTGCATAGCTGTATAAACGCATGCATAAAGAAAATTATACAATCGCATTTCCCTTATAGAGATGCACGTAAAATGTGATTGGGTAATTTTCATTATGCATACGTTTATGCGGTTATGCAAGTTTGTGTGGATATAGCTTTAAAAGCCCTGACACAAGCTTTTACATAATGCATAACGCATAAAAGAATCAGTCAATCAAAGTTCTTCTTTTCCATGAAGTGAAAGGAAAAGAGGGATTCAGATTGGTTGATTCTCTTATGCGTCATGCATTATGCATCATGCAAAAGTGTGTGCTGCAGCCTTAAGCGGGGAGCACAGACTTTTGCATAACGCATAAAGCATGTATATAAAGAATTTGATTGGTCCATTGACTCATGCATAAGAAAATGGACCAATGAAATTCCTTATGCACATGCTTTATGCGTTATGCAAAAGTCTGTGCTCCCCGCTTAAGAGCCCCAACACAGACTTTTGCATAACGCATAAAGCATGTGCATAAGGAATTTCATTGGCCCATTTTCTTATGCATGAGTCAATGGACCAATCAAA